CCTTCCTATGCTGAATCAATAAATAATCCTGGAGCATTTGAATTTCCATTTGTCAGCCACAGAGACCTGTACTAGAGAACCCAGAAACTTTGTCTCCTTTTCCCTCCATTTCTTTCTCATCATTAACTTAGCTTAAAGATTACGTCCTCTGATGTTCCTGACCACACTAGCCAACCCTCTCCCTCTTCCAACCAACTTCATCCCATCCCTTGCCCTGCAAGAATCTTCTGCTGAGCTCCCTCGGGCAGGTATTGTCATCAGTTGTAATCATTGGTATATTCAGCTTTTCAATTTTTTAAATTTTTTTATTTACTCAAAGAAAGGGTCTTGTGCTGGTGGAATGGCTCAAGTGGTAGGGCACCTGCCTAGCAAGTGTGAAGCCTTGAGTTCAAACCCCACAACTACAAAAAAAAAAAAAAAAAAAAAAAGAGTTTCACTGTGTTGCCCAAGCTGAACTCCTGGACTCTGAACTCAAGCAGTTCTCTCACTTCAGCCTGTCTAGTGCTGGGACCACAGGCATGTACCACCATACTGTCCTTTAGCTCTTTTTACCTGCTGTGTGTTTTTGATCAAAAACCTTCTCCTGGGCTCAAGTCCTAGACTACTAGTGAGGAGCCCGTGGCTCATGCTTTATAATCCTAGCTACTTAAAAAACTAAGATTGGGAGGATTGAGGTTTGAGGCCAGCCCAGGCAGGGAGTTCATGAGATCCCATTTCAACCAGGAGATGTGCACAGTGGCATGTGTCTAGCATCTCAGCATATGTGGGAAACTGAGATCACGAGAGAATTGAAGCCAACCTGGGCCTCAACAGAAAAAAGCTGGATGTGGTAGTGCATGCCTCTCATCCTAGCAACTGTAAGAAAATTGTAAAATAGGAGGGTCATAGTCCAAGCTGGCCTTGGCCTATCTCCAAAAGAAGCAGAGCAAATAGGGCTGGAGGTATGGCTGAAGTGGTGAAGCACCTGCCTAGCAAGTGCAAGGCCCGGAGTTCAAACCCCAGTACCACCAAAAACAAAAAACTGTCTTTCCAAATCCCAGTTTCCTCATCTATAAAATGAATATAATACTAGTCATGAAAGGTAAAATAGGTTCAGATGGTAGCATATGTCTGAAAGCAACGATTGGCTATACTTACGTGTCTGTCCTGTTTCTGATAAGTCTGTGTTTGTTTGTTGTTTTTTCATGCTCCTTGGGATCAGGATATGTATTTTTAAACAGCCAGATCTCCTTGTAGGATCGCTTAGACCTCAGTTCTTTTACTCCGAGTTGTAATGCTCTTGTACTTAAAAGGATTGAGTTTTGACACACAGTTGCGGGAATCCTTCCCCCAGCCCTACCCCACCATGCTAGGACTTCAGGAATGTTCTTTACTTCTCCTCATGTGTTTATTGAACCTGTCCTCTGGCCAGTACTGGGACTATAAAAGTACCAGGGTCCCTGCTTTGAGGATTTGTTGGGTCTGGAGTTAAAGATGGATACAAAACAATAGTTATGCTCCACTGTGATAAGTGCCATGAGAACTGGGTGCCACAGGTGCCCAGAGAGAGGGTGGTGTCAGATGAAAGCCTTCCAGCAGAGGCCCATGAGCTGAGTCTGAGAGTTTGGGATTTAGTTATGTCACAGAATGAGGGAAGGAGAGAAGTTTTCTTCAGTCAAAAAGAGCAGCACATGCTAAGGGCCAGGGCTGCAGGCCAGAACTCCCAGCAGGCCTCGTATGCCCCCTGCAGTCTGTTCTCTACACAGCAGCCTTTACAAACATAAGATCTTGTCACTCATCACACAACTTGCTGGTGCTTCCACATATCCTCCCAAGAGAAACCCAAAGTCATGACTTGGTCTATCTACCAGGCTGGCCTGGCTGATAGCCACCACTCTTCTCCTTTGATACCCACACTTTAGCCAAACTGGCTCCTTTGATTTTCCTTGAACTCACCAGATACTTTTCCACCCAGGGTGTTTTGTATTTGCACTTGGTGCTGTCAGGATGCTTAACCCAGAAATCCACATGGTTACTTCCCTCATTTCCTCAACTCTCTATTGAGATATGTCTAACTACCTTATTTAAAATTGCATCAGTGGCTGGGCACAGGTGGCTCACACCTGTAATCCTATCTATTCAGGAGGCAGAGATCAGGAGGATCACAGTTTGAAGCCAGCCCAGGCAAATAGTTTGTGACATCCTATCTTGGGGAAAAAAAAGCCATCACAAAAAAGGGCTGGTGGAGTGGTTCAAGGTATAGGCCCTGAGTTCAAATCCTAGTATCAAAAATAAATAAAATTATACCAGTAAATCAGCCCCTGCATTCTAGATACTCCCTTCCTATAGTTGGCATTTATATTTTACTTTTTTTGTTGTTAATGTTTTAACTACCCCTACCCACACCTCACCCCCTGCAAATGTCAGCTTCATTAGAGCAGGGATTTTTGTTGTATTTTGTTCACTGCAGCATTCCTAGGCCTAAAACAATGTCTGGCACATGGAAGGTGCTCATATATTAATGAAAAGCAATCTCAGGAAATTTCATACTCATTTTAGCCCCACTCTGCTATTTTGGAACTAGATTATAACATCTTTGGTTTTTTTTTTTTTTTTTTGTGATACTGGGACTTGAAATCAGGGCCTTCACCTTGAGCCACTCTACCAGCCCTTTTTTGTGAAGGTTTTTTTTCGAGATAGGGTCTCATGAACTGTTTGCCCAGGCTGGCTTCAAACCAGATCCTCCTGATCTCTGCCTCCTAAGAAGCTAGGATTATAGGTGTGAGCTACCAGCACCCAACTCTTTGGTTTTAGCTTTCTTTCCCCTTTTTTCCTGGGTTGATTATAGATGGATTGAACTGTTTTAAATTGTCATCCAAGTTATTCTTATATATTCATATTCTTATAATATGAGTCTGTCAGAGCCCTATGACCCCATATCACAGACCTTTCTCTTAGATACTTGGGGGGGAGGATTATACTCCATTTAATAGCAACAGTATCATAGAATTAAAAAGGCTATTGGGAGGATGAAGAAAATCTGATCTATAATTCCCTCTTTTGAATCTGGCTTTTTTTTTCATAATCTCCAACCCTCTTGTTTGCAGTTAGTAGGCATTTTCTTTTTGCTTATCATATGTCTTTTGTGGTGGTATCAGTATAATCACCATTGTTAATATGTGTATTATATTCCTATGAGTCGATGTTCCATAATTTACTTGGTCTTTTCTCTAATCATTGGATATTTTTAATTCTTTCTGCTTTTTTCTATTGCAATTATTACTACAGCAAACATCTTGCTACATTCTTTTGGATTATTTCCTTAGGATGAACCTCCAGGAGGGTGACAGGTGAGACTGTATAGGATTGACCTATCATCTTTATCCCTCACCTCCATAATAGCATTTGGCACAAAGTAGGAGCTCAGTGAAAGTCTGTTGAATGACTTAGGATTTCAGACACATATGGTGTGACACACTGCATCACACTCTCAAGTTCACTGACCAAGCCCTGTCCTTTTACCCAGGCTCTAGGTTTTAGACATATCACTCTACTTGCCATTTTGTAGAGAAGGGCAAAAGAGTGCCCTTTTCTACAACATTTGGGAATATTCTTACATCACTGGGGAGTGAGTGGCGGTAACTGGATTATCAGCCTTGTGCCTTCCAGAAAAACAACAATTCATTGTTCTATCTCCACCCAATGTTTAGAAGCACCCCTCACCCCATTAGCCTCACTGGGGAACCATTCTCTTTTGGTGAATGGAGCCTTTGTTTCCAATGACTCTCAGCCTTTGAGGATCTTCTCACTGGGCTCTGGATGGTTTGGAAAGGGCTTCCTGAGAATAAGCATACTTTAAAGCTAGTTTCCAACTACAGGAAGAGTTAAATCTAGGTCAGTTAAGCAGCTGTTTATCAAGCTCGTACTCCATAGATCATTATAGGGATTGTGTGTAATTAGACAGTGTCTGAGACATGTCTGGGAGAGGCACAGCCAAGGGCTTGGTTAGTCAGAGGCAGGCAAGACTCCATTGAGTGGGGATCCATAAAGGTTTCATGGAAGAGGTAATGTCTTGGGCAAGGCATAGTAGAGCAAGCGTACTTGTAATCCCAGCTATGAGGGAACATAGATAGGAGAATCCTAGTATGAAGCTAGCCATGACAAAAAGCGTAAAACCTATCTGAAAAATAACTAAAGTAAAAAGTGCTGGGAGCTTGGCTCAAGTGGCAGAGCAGTTGCCTAGCAAGCAGGAGGCCCTGAGTTCAAGTCCCAGTACCACCCCAAAAAAAAAAAAAGGTTGTTTTAGGTCTAGAAGACCTTAGGTCTAGCTTCCTAGGGTAAAATGTTGGGCCAGGGAGATACAAACATGTAGCTGGAGAGTGAAGGGGAATGACAATGTAGAAGACCTTGCATGTCAGAGTGAGAACCCAAACATCTAATTGTCACCTTTGTTTACAAATTCCTTGTGCTAGAATATCCTACCCTGACAGGTTTCTGAGACACATTTCCTGTGGCTACATGCCATGTGTCACACTGTCTCAGGTGCCAGTTTATTAAGCCACTGAGTTTATATTCATAAGGTCATTTTGCTTCCTCTGAAATCTTTTTCAGTTGTGTTGTTTAGGCTACAGATGACACAGCATCCCTTTCTGTTAGAAGCTGCTGCTCAGGTTTTTTCAAATCATCAAAGTCTTGCCCCTCAATTATACCAGATATGTGCATCATAGTTGTATCTATACTCTATGGGGATGTATTTATATTCTGCTGTCAATTAGCTGAGGGGTGAGGGCAAAGGACCAGGAACAACCTACCTTATGCTGAAGTTACAAGCTGATGCTCTAGGTGCAAGTAGTAGCCTAAGGCCCACTCCACACAGGCCTGGGGAACTTTATGACAGTGCCAAGTATCTGATGTTCCTTGTTTGTTGTTGGAAGATAAATGTATGATTCATCTGCCTGCGGTATGGGCAAGTTCATCCAGCCTATCTGCCATCTCTTAGTCTTGGTCTTCTTTTCTGACAGGCAGAGGTGGAGGAAACATTGAAGCGACTTCAGAGCCAGAAAGGAGTACAAGGAATCATCGTGGTGAACACTGAAGGTACACACTCCCTCCAGCCATGACCGGCTGGCCTTCAACACACCATAACATTGCTGTTTATTAAAATCCTTCATTACTTGGTGTAGCTTTTCCCAAAGGGGAAAAAAAAAACTTCTGCAAGCATGTTAGATGCCATATCGTTCCTTTAAAAATTATAGTAATACATTTAATAATAAGAGCTAACATGATCAGAAGTAATACCTTTTTTTAAGCACCATTATAAATACTTGATATAGATTTAGTCACTTAATTCTTAAAACAGCCCTACGAGGATGGAACTATGATCTCCATTTAGTAAATGAGGAAACTGAGCATCCTTCTTAGAGACCTCCTTATTTTATTCCATCCTTTTGCTTTAGCTCTTGCTCTTACCTCTGCCTAGAATGCCCTCTCTTCTACTGATCCTAGTGTCACCCATCCTTCAAGATGCCCTCCAGTAGTCTTCTTTAAGGAAACTAAGCCCTTGGTGGTAATCTTTACAGCAACTCATTTTACCAGCAAGAAGGCTCAGAGAGGTTAACATGCCCCAGATAAGATTGTGCAAGCCCTGCACTGCTCAGCAGAGGGTGTGCCATCCTGTATCCCCAGCACCTGGAGTAATGTTGGCACAGAGTTGGTGGCGCTTGATTAAAATATCTATTACATTTTTCTTTTTCTCTCTCTTTCCCTTCCTTCTTTTCTTCCTTCCTCTTGCTTTTTCTCTCTTGCTTTTTTCCTTTCTCTTCCTCTCTTTCTCTTCCTCTCTCTCTTTCCCTCTCCCTCTCTTCTCCTCTCTTCCTCTCCCTTTCTCCCTCTCCCTCTCTCTCTTTCTGCCTCCCTGTCCCCTCTGTCCTTCTCTCCCTCTCCCTCTCTCTCCCTCTCTTCCTTTATAGTTCTGAGATTGAATCCAGGGCCTTACATATGCTAGACAAGTACTCCACCACTGAGCTATACTCCCAGCCTTGTTCTTGTTGTTGTTGTTGTTGTTGCTTGAAGAATTGTGGGTGTGGTGAGAGGACCTGGCTGCACAACCAGAGCACATCCAAGCCTCAGTTTAGAAATGATGCCTCCCAAATAACCACCTATTTCTGCAGGTTACACAGTCTCCATTTGTGAAGGCAGAGGCTTGGATAAGGCAGACTAATAACTAGACCATCTTTGACATCTCTCCAGCTCTGGTATCCTGATGACTCTGGAAGTAATCAGTTGTCCTTGTTTGAAATTCTTCCCAGTTTTGGTCCCTGCCTCCTTTTGTTTTTCAAGTGAGCCAACAAATCGTTAGTTTCTTATCTACTTTACACATTGCTCACTTGCAGAAATGTGATCAAACTCATGTCAGTATTTATCTGAACTACTGAAAGTATACTTCCGCGATCACTCATTTAGCAATAAATGTGTAATGTAGTCTAACCACAGACTGTATTGAATAAATCAGTGGGTCCTGCCCTCAGCACTTACAGTCTGGTGGGAAATGGATATATGATCGTGTCCCTAACAGTGTGGTACCAAAGTCAAGTAACTGCTCTAAAGGAAAAATTGTGTAGTATGAGGACCACAGAGTAGGGACACTGACCACCAGCCAGCACTGGGGGTGGGTAGAGGCCTGAGAAACCAGTAGAAGTCATGAGAGAATAGAGAAGGGAATGATGGCCAGGCTTGATAGCTCATGCCTGTAATCCCAGCTTCTTGGGAGGCAGAGATTGGAAGGATTGTGCTTTGAGGCCATCTGGGCAAAAAGTTAGTGAGATCCCCATCCCAATAACAAGGTGGCATAGTGATGTGTGCCTGTTATCACAGGTATGCAGGAGACATAAGTAGGAGAATTGTGGCCCAAGGCCAGCCCTAGACAAAAAACATGAGACCCTATCCAGAAAATAACTAAAGCAAAAAAGGGCTGGAGGTATAGCTCAATTGGTATAGTGCCTACCTTCCAAGTTTGAGGTCCTGAGTTCAAATCCCAGAAACCTCCAAAAAAAAAAAAAAAAAAGAGCCTCTCAATTTTAGCTGCTTCTTTTGCTACCATATCCTATTCTGCCCATACTAATGTTCCTGGTGCCCTAAGAAGAAAGACTGGAGCCTAGCACCAGTGGCTCACACCTTTAATCCTAGGTACTCAGGAGGCAGAGATCAGGAGGATTGAAGTTCAAAGCCAGCCAGGGCAAATAGCTCTTGAAACCCTATCTTGGAAAAACCCATCACAAAAAAGGGCTGGTAGAGTGGCTCAAGGTGTAGGCCTTGTGTTCAAGCCCTAGTACTGCAAAAAAAAAAAAAAGAAGAAAGATTGGGCCAGTTTCTTGCTACCCAATGGGTAGCCTAAGCATGACTGCCTTTGGCTAATCTCTGGGCTGGCCACTTGTGGATAAGATTAGCAGGGTTCTTCTACAACAAAATTAGAAATAAGGGCAAAATAGTTTCTGCTGGGTATTGGGGGGGGAGAGGGAGGGAGCGGAGTGGGTGGTAAGGGAGGGGGTGGGGGCAGGGGGGAGAAATGAACCAAGCCTTGTATGCACATATGAATAATAAAAGAAAAATGAAAAAAAAATTTAATTATAATAATGTAAAACATTAACTAGGTTCAGAGTCAAAAAATATGAATGAAGGTATATTCAGAGAAGTTGTACTTTCACATCTGTCCCCTTCACTTTATTATTTCCTTTGCCATTTTTAAAGTATTGTTTAATTATTCTTCTTTCTCTTTTTTAAATTTTTTCCTTGGCAGTGCTGAGGTTTGACCAGTGCTGAGGTTTGACCTCGGGGCTTCTCACTTGTTAGGCAGGTGACAAAAAAAAAAAAAAAAAAAAAGATTAGCAGGGTTCTGGGCCCAAAGATTGACCACTTTTAGGTCAGGACTGAGTATTAGTTGGTGAGCTCTTGGGGTCTCATGAATGGAGCCTTCTGTTGGTAGATTGCAGCCAATTCACAGGTACCTGTTGACCCAGTTGTGCCACATGATCATAGTTGGGCCACATTCCTTACCTCTGTGACAGGAGGCACCATCCAGTAAGTAATAGCCATTTAATTTTTGAGTTTTCAAAAAAAGGAGAGAGAGACTTGGTAGGAAATAATACCCGTTTTCCAGTTAATTATATCTAACCTAAGTATCCAGCAGTAGGAATGGTGAGTGTATAGGCTATCATTTAGTGGGCTCTTTTGTTTTTGTTTTAGTGCTAGGAATTGAACCCAGGGTTTTATACATACTAAGCACACACTGTTACAGAGATACATCCCAGTTCCTTATTGTACTCTTTGAAAGAGGTAGCGGTGGGCACAGACATAGCCACATGCTATAATTGTAGGGGGAGCAATATCATGTGTTTACATCTGGGCCCTAAGCCTCCCTCACACTCCCTCAGATAAGAATGATGATGGGTTATGTCTTGACACAGCTGACCTTTTTCTCTTCCTCCTTTTCAGTCCTTACAGATTTATAAGAGTTGTCCTCATCTTCAGTTTCTAAGCATTATGAAGGAGCATCTCTCCTCTTATTGCTGGAACCCAGTCAGGCACTGTGGCCCTTGGAAAGGGACCTGCAACGGACATTATAGACCTACATTTGAATCCTGGCCCCGTTGCTCATCTGTTGTGTGCCTATAGACAGATCACCCATCACTCAGGGCTCCCACTGCTTAATTGGCAAATGAAGATGGTGATGCCACCCACAGAGGACTCTGAGCCTACTTGGTGCTGACACATTTAAGTTTTAAGCACTGTGCCTGTCACGTAGCAAGCCATCTATAAATAATGGCATTGATTGTTAACTGCCAGCCCAATATTCAAGAATTAGGTGTGGGGTCAAGAGCCTGGCAGAAAGCAGCTCCCATGTCCTGCTCAGTTTCCATCTGCTTTTCCCTCAGGCATTCCCATCAAGAGCACCATGGACAATCCCACCACAACACAGTATGCCAACCTCATGCACAACTTCATCTTGAAGGCGCGGAGCACTGTGCGAGAAATTGACCCTCAGAATGACCTCACTTTCCTTCGAATTCGTTCCAAGAAAAATGAAATTATGGTTGCACCAGGTAAGGTCCACCTCCCCATTTAGGAGCAGACCCTCATAGTAAGTTCTCTGGCCTATCCGGAAGGCACATTGGTGTCTCCAGAGGCCCAAGGAGGGTCTGAGAAGTTGAAAGAATCGAGTTGCCTCACTGCCTAGTCAGCCTCCAGCTGGTGTCCCCCAATAAATCCTCACAGTGACTGTAGGTCTCAAGGGGAATGATGGTCTCATGGAGGAGAAAGACATATAGGCATACCACAGGTCACCCTTACCTTGACATGGGGAAATTCCATGAACATTTGAGACATATGGAAGAATATGATCAGGTCTGCCCCCGACTATTGGCAAAGGCTTCCCAGAAGCAGGAGTGTTGAATCTTGAGGGCCAGCAGGGAATGTAAGTGAGGTAGAGGGGTGAGAAAGCTTTTTTGGAGGAAAAAAAAATTTAGTGATTCTAAGCCAAAATGTGATAGTCCTTTCTCTAAGCCCTATACAGCCAGCTTTTCTGCCAGCACTGGAGCTGGTTTTGTTGTTGTTGTTTGTTTGTTTTTAATGAAATGCTTGGTTTGCATTTGGGTACTGTGTGGTACAACCAAGCCTTTGTTTAGGCCTTAGGATCATTCTCAGGGTGATGAGATGCTCATCCTGAGAGGAGCCCATAGGGATGGCAACCATAGGAGGGAAACACAGGCCCACCTCTCCTGCCCTGCCTTTGCTTATGCAAACTGGAGTGGCAGACAAATTCTCCAGGACTGTTGTTGCATCATTACTTCTCTCTCCCCGCCTCTCTTTTGGCTGAGCCATAGTTGAATGTAAGTTAAGTTTGCACATGATAATGCACTCTTGTTGCAGTACAGCTTGTCTGTGTGGAAGGTACAAAAAGTGATACTTTAGTCCAACTTAGAAGGGCCTCACACCAAACTCAACTGTGAGGAGAGATGTTCAGAGCAGAAGGTAATAATTGTGAGTAGGCCTAAATAAAGGAGAGCAGTGGGGAGGCTGGAGGAACAAGCATACCTGGGCTTCACAACACAGATGGTAAGGAAGCCAGCTGCAGAATTCTGAGAAACTTTCATGGGAAGTCAGCCACTCCCAGCAGTAGACCAGCGTTGGTTTTGTTTCCAGGCTTGCTCTGACCCAGTCTGGCTGCCTGGAAGGGTGAGAAGGAGAGGGATAGAGCCAGTCACTAGGGTATACCTTAAAGGTGGGTACAGAGCAAGTCATTCACAGAGAAGAACATAAGAACAACTTCAGAGGCATTCATTCAAAAACATGTTTAATGTACCAGATGAGAGCTGATGCTTGATTAGATCAGAAAAAAAGACTGCCAGAGATGCAGGATCTGTTTTCCCAGCTTTATGTCTAAGAACTTGACCTTGGGCAAGTCACAGAACATCTACATAACCACATCTGTAAAACATCAAGTAGGGGACCGTGCTGCTCTGATCTTCTAGGACGCCCCATCTTGATTGTGTGGGCTCAGTCAGGTTGGGGCAAAAAAAGCCTTGGAATCAAATTTGAACTGAACCATCCCCTGCAAGGCTTCATGCTGTGTGATGGGAGGACAACTCTCCACATCCTTAAAAGTGGGGCTGGAAATCATCCCTCCACTCACCCTGCATGTCAGAGCAGACCTGGGCTCCCCAGTGGCACACTTAGGAGCTTAGTGTGAGACAATGGCAAATGATATGGTAGCCACATAGACAAACTTCTGGGACAGTGCCTCTCCACCTCAAGCTTCGAGGAGTGGCTCCTCTCTGGAATGTCAGAGTTGTGTGAAAGTTCCTGGCCATACAGGTCTCTGCTTGGTGCAAATACATTTTTAACTTGACCTTGAAGACCCATGACATTCAGAGCTTGTGAGTGAGGTTGATGCTTGAGTCTGGGATGTGCAGCTCCCAAGTTAGGGGTTTTCTTTGGGATTCACAGACCCAGAGATCCCACAGCCTTGTCATTGGAGATGCAGATGAAGTGGCCAGACCCCCCTCGCCTGGGCAGCATACAGAAGCCTGCAGGGAGTACGCATGCTCTTTTCACTCAACCTCACTGTCAGTCTCTCTTAACTCTCTTTCTCTCTCTCTCTCTCTCTCTCTCTCTCTCTCTCTTATGCTAGAGGGTGTGTGACTTGTTGAGGTTGCTTTAAACAGTGGTGTTTCTTTGAGTAACTGCACTCCTGTGCTATAGTCACACTGCTGCCTTTCAAAGCCTGCACTCATCTCCCTGAGGTCCTCCCACACGCCATCCTGCTGCCAGAATGCTCTATCCTTCCTTGTCACCTGCCAAACAACTGCTTATCTACCATTTTTAACTTTCGTCATCTTCACTAGTCAGTTAAGTTCTATGATGGCAGGGATTTGTAAGCACATAGTAAGCATTTAACATTTTTTTTTTTTGAGGGCTGGTGGAGTGGCACAGTTGGTAGAGCGCCTGCCTAGCAAGCATGAGGCCCTGAGTTCAAACCCCAGTACCACCACCACCACCAAAAAAAAAAAAGCGTAAGGATAAAACAATTTGTTTTGATCCCTCACCCCTCCCAACCAACAAATATTTATCGAATAAATAAATGAATAGCTTCCTAAATCTCCCTCCATTGCTGACACTCCACTGCTGTGGGCCAGGGATAGGTTCAGCAGTGAGAATGAGGTCAGAGATGTCTAGGGCATGTTATTTAAGGTAAAATCCAGTGACTTGACACTTTGAAACACCCAGTGTGATGTGACCAAGAAAAAATAATGAACTTTGGTGCCAGAACTACTGGGGGCAGGAACCTCAGAGGCATCAGGGCTGCATTGTCTTAGGATTGCCATAGACATCCTCACACACAGGAAGCCTCTAGTACAGAACATGCCTATCTGCCGCATTGTAGCGGGGCTCTGTGGGATTGTAGTTATACCCCATCCTCTGAGAACAGCCTGAAGTAGCCCAGGAAGGAGGTGCATGGTCTCCTCCTACCCACCTAATCAGACTTGGCCAAGCTGCTTGAGAAGCTGCTTCCCAGGCCAACAGTAGCAGATAGTTTCAGAAGTTTGGCTTTTCATATATGTATCAGATTTTGCCCCATTCTGGCCCAAAACAGCCCATGCAAAAGACCTTGTTTATTTATTTATTTTTCTTGGTAACAGGGTCTCACTATATAGTCCAGACTGGCTTTGAACTGGTGATCCTCCTGCCTCAGCCTCTTGAGTGCTGGGATTACAGAAATATGCCTCCACTTCCCAGCACAAAGAGATGTTTTAAGACAGACTTATTTTTCACTTATTAACCTTACTCATCTAAAGCTGAGTTGAACCAGCACAGACAGCCTTTAAAACACTACCTCCCACAAAGCACTTGATATGGTATTGAATGATTTAGAATTTAGTAGTTTGGAATAAAAGACAGTGGTATTGTTGGTTGTGTCTGCTTTTTATCAGTGGCTTGTTAATTCCTTTTTTTTGTTTTTTGCAGTACTGGGGCTTGAACTCAGGGCCTTCACCTTGAACCACTCCACCAGCCCTATTGTTTTTTGTGAAAGGTTTTTCAAGATAGGGCCTCGTAAAATATTTGCCCTGGCTGTCTTCAAACCTCAATCCTCCTGATCTCTACCTCCTGAGTGTTAGGATTACAGGCATGAGTCACCTGTGCCCAGCTCCCTATTTTTAATAGTAGCTATTTTTATGTGTGCATATTGCTTAGCCATGAAGCTAACAGTCGGTTAACTTGTGTTTCTTCTCAGTTGCAACAGCGCACTATTGTGGGAAGACCCACTCAATCTTTAGAGTTGAATCTGAGCAGCCATAAAGCATGCATGGCCAAGGGCCCACCATTTCTCTCATGATCAGCAGGGGGCAGCAGACCACAGGGGTTCAGAGCTAATTGGGAGGCTGAGATTGGGAAAATTACAGTTGGAGGCCAGTTTGGGCAAATTGTTTGAGAAACTCCAGCATCTCCAAAACAGCCAGAGCCACTGGGAAGTGTGGCTCAAATGGTAGAGTGCCTATTTTGCGAATGTGAAGTCCTGAGTTCAAAAAAATTAGTAAGAGGCTAATTGCTCTGACGGGTGGCACTTTGCCCTATCTCTTAGTAAATAAGGCATCTTATTCATGAGATCATAGAGGATCTGATTCATGAGATCTGTCCCATTGGAAAACACTTCAAAGAAGCAAATAGCTTCCCATGTCCCTTCAAAATGTCTTTCCATGAAGTGGAAGTAAGAAAAAAAACACCCATTTTGTAGAAGGTGGATACCTAGCAGCAGGAATGACCACATCAACAGGCGTACTGGCAGGATGAACTAAGGTCCCTAGCATAGTATTTTTGAAATCCAGTCATTTAATAAAAAGTGACTGTCTCAAATTGAAGATAAGTGTGTACTGTAGAATGCCTGTAAAAGGGAGACAGTTTCCCTGCAGTCATACTGGCAGGGTCCCCACAGGAACCATGCAAGTTTATCTTCTGTTCCAAGTTCTGGGAAGTAGCCTGAGCATTGATGCTTTTTATTAAAGCTTTCCTCCCTCTGCCCTGCCTCTTGTGGTTAGTGATTTAAGGAGTTAATTGCTTTCTAGTATGTTCTTCTGTTTACACTTAGTGATTTATTTTTTCATTTTTTTCTCTTTTGCAGATAAAGACTATTTCCTGATTGTGATTCAGAATCCAACTGAATAAGCCAGTCTCTTGGCTCCCTGTATCATTCTTTAATTTAATGCCCCCCCATCCCCTAACCCAAGAATAATAGTGTTAATCATGTCAACTGACTGGCACTTGGAAATCGCTTTAGAGCCCAAGAAAACCAATCCATTGACCAAGAGTGGGCTGGCAGCTCCACCCACCCCACCAAAGGAATCCCTCTGCTGTTCCAGTTGCCGCAGAGTTCCCAGGAAGGCTCTTTGATCACTTCCACGCTTTGGAGCAAGAGCTTATGAGAAGCCCACACCCAGCTTCCTTCTGACCTTCAGTTCACTTTGTCATCCTTGGGTTTTTTTTTTTTTCTTTAACTAAAAATAACCAAAACACTTACCCTACTGTTGTGTCTTTAAACACTAGGTTGGAAGGGCTTTCTTCCTGTGTCATCATGTGGTCTGAAGAACAAATCTGTTGGCCTCCTCCATCCCCTGGTGATAGATTGTGTTCAGTCTCCAGGCCTGCTCTTCATTGTGCTCTGGCCATATTTCCTGAATGTAGATTGGTGTATAATTAGTGCCTTGGTTCGTGGACCTCTTGTCCCTAGATACACCTTTTATCACTTCCTACTACTGTCAATGTTTTTCTATTACACTGCACTGAGGAATGGAAGACAGTGATGTCTATTGAGTACCCAGAATGCACCTGGTTTGCCTTATACAGAAACATCACCTGTCTCTCTGAAGACAGTGTTAAATCTCCCATAGAACTGGAGGTGTGGCTTGAGTGGTAGAGTACCTGCCTAGCAAGTGTAAGGTCCTGAGTTCAGCCCCCAGTTCTACAAAAAAGAAAAAAAAGCCCTCTTAAGATGAGGAATTAGGAATATGGGATGAGCTAAGCTGGTGGGCAGGAACAGGGTCACTCCCAAGGACTCACAGCACAGGTCTCTTACACAAATAGCCCTGCTGTTTCCATGTTGCCTTTCCCACAAACTGTGGATGTGTTCATTTACCCAAGTGAGCTCATCCTAGGTGACCATCCGCCCTGCTGAAGCCCTGTGTGCAGGGTCCTCTATGAGGGTCTCACTTGCCTGCACTCACCAAGGATCTAGGCCACCCACCATTGAACAGCACTACTTTTCCTTCAGAAACCACATGCATTTGTTTTTTATTAGACTTTTGTTTTCAATTTTTGCTTCTCTACAGGGGCACGGCTACGAGTGTTTGGCCTTGGCCTTGTTCACCCATCTTGCAGTGTCACTTTTGCCCCACTTTGCTGAAGGGTGGGTGAGATGGGGAGAGAAAAGTTCCTGGTTTACTGACACTACTGTGAACTGACTTCTGGCTCAGCCTGGTATGTGTCAAAAGCAGAACCTTGGGCTTTGTTTTTCATGAGTTTTCGAAGATGTCCCCCTCCTCCCCCTTCCAACTTTTCTTTTGGCCCCGGCTTTTTTCTTTGGCCCCTGATTCTCAGGGTCCCCTCTGCCCACACCCCCTCTGCTGATCCAAAGTAAAGCCAAACCATTTGATCCAGCAATACCACTCTTGGGGATATACCCAAAAGACTGTTACTCCAGAGGCACCTGCACATCCATGTTTATTGCGGCACTATTCACAATAGCCAAGTTATGGAAACAGCCAAGATGCCCCAGCACTGACGAATGGATTAAGAAAATGTGGTATCTATACACGATGGAATTTTATGCAGCCATGAAGAAGAACGAAATGTTATCATTCGCTGGTAAATGGATGGAATTGGAGAACATCATTCTGAGTGAGGTTAGCCTGGCTCAAAAGACCAAAAATCGTATGTTCTCCCTCATATGTGGACATTAGATCAAGGGCAAACACAACAAGGGGATTGGACTATGAGCACATGATAAAAGCGAGAGCACACAAGGGAGGGGTGAGGATAGGTAAGACACCTAAAAAACTAGCTAGCATTTCGTTGCCCTTAATGCAGAGAAACTAAAGCAGGTACCTTAAAGCAACTGAGGCCAATAGGAAAAGGGGACCAGGAACTAGAGAAAAGGTTAGATCAAAAAGAATTAACCTAGAAGGTAACACCCACGCACAGGAAATCAATGTGAGTCAATGCCCTGTATAGCTATCCTTATCTCAACCAGCAAAAACCCTTGTTCCTTCCTATTATTGCTTATACTCTCTCTACAACAAAATTAGAGATAAGGGCAAAATAGTTTCTGCTGGGTATTGAGGGGGGGAGCGGGAAGGGGTGGAGTGGGTGGTAAGGGAGGGGGTGGGGGCAGGGGGGAGAAATGAACCAATCCTTGTATGCACATATGAATAATAAAAGAAAAATGAAAAAAAAAAAGTAAAGCCAAATCACCCCACTTCTTCCCTCATGGTAAGGCACATTGGCAGCCTCTAAGAATCCTCTGCCTTGCAGCTGCTTTGCAGGCCATGGCCCATGTGGGAGTGGGGCAGCCACCTGACTGCAGTCCTGCCCCAGTCTCCTTGCATTCAACCAAGGCACCAGGTTTTGGGGTTTCAGCAGAAACAAAAAAGCTACATCCATTTTTACACCCTAGTTCGCAAGAAATGTGTTGTTAATGACTGCCTCCAAGGCAAGATGAAATAGGAAATTTTGAGTTTTTTTAATTCTCTGGAAATTTGAGTACCCATTTGACATGCAAAACATTAACAAAGTTGCAAATTGCCTGTGCCATCTTCTTTTATGTCTTCCTTTAAAAAATAGTGGTGTATTTATTTGGTTGTTCATTCAGCAGGCATTTAGTGAGTGCCTACTATGTGTCAGGCAGGTCTAGACATAAAGGACAGAGTGACAAGAGCATTTTGATAGACAGCCACCTACAAACAAAACTGCCAGGCCCCCACCTCAGATGAGTAAATCATAATCCCTGAGAGTAAGCCTCTCATTAGTTTTTAAAGCTCTCAGGTTTTCATGACCTGCAGTGAGGGTTGAGAACCACTGACATGGAGCAGTGTGGGCCCTGGTTTAAAGAGAACGGGGCTAACAGAACTCATTCCAAGGGAGAGAAGCTCTTAAAGGGAGGGCTGGGTTGTAGCTCTTGTACGGAAATTGCCTAGCATGTGTGTGGCCGGTCATTCAGTCCCAGCACCTTTCATCCCATGGGAGAAATAGGAGGATGCAGTCCGAGACTGGTCTCAGGAAAAAACACAAGACCTATCTGAAAAATAACACAAAACACAAAGAGCTGGAGATACAGAACACCTGCCTAGCAAGTACGAGGCACTGTGTTCAAGCCCCAGCACAGCCACCAACAAAAGAAAAAAGATGGAAAAAAAGCTTAAAGTATCAGATGCCAGGCATATAGAATTGTAACTTTATACAGGCACCAGTGGCTCACGCCTGTAATCCTAGCTGCTTAGGAAGCAGAGATCAGGAGGATCATGGTTTTCAAAGCCAGCCCAGGCAAATGGTTCATGAGACCCGATCTTGAAAAAAAACCCATCACAAAAAAGGGCTGGTGCTGGTGGAGTAACTCAAAGTATAGGCCCTGAGTTCAAGGCCAGCACCACAAAAAAAAAGTTTAAAGGATCAGTATGAAAACGTCACAACAAAACCCATTATTTTGTACAATATACACTAATAAAAATAATTTTAGCCAGGCACTGGTGGCTTACACTATAATCCAGCTACTCGGAAGGCAGAGATCAGGAGGATCTCAGTTCAAGGCCAGCCCAGGCAAATAGTTCAAGAGACCTATCTCGAAAATAGTCAACACATAGAAGGGTTGGCAGAGTGGCTCAAGTGGTAGAGTGCCTGCTTAGCAAGTGTAAAGTCCTGAGTTCAAACCCCAATACCACCAAAAATAAGAATTTTTGAAAATAAAAAATTTGAAAGGTTTGAGATGCTCAGTTTCTAACAGGAGTTCCAGAAAGAGAAAATGGAAGAAAATTATCAATAAAAGTTATCAATAAAAAAGTCCCAGAACTAAGGACATGAGTTTCTAGAATAAAAGACCTGAACTGGGCACAGGTGGTTCACGCCTATAATCCTAGCAACTCAGGAGGCAGAGATCAGGAGGATTGCTGTTTAATTCCAGTCCTGGCAAATAGTTCAAGAGACCCTATCCTGAAAAATCCCTAAGGGCTGGTGGAGTGGCTCAAGTTACAGGCTTTGAGTTCAAACCACAGTACTGCAAAAAAAACCCAAAAAGACCTAAGAGTCCTTTTAATTGTAAAAAGACCCACACCAAGCCTCAACCATGATCATGAAAGCTCAGAACACAGTAGACAGATGAAAAATGAAATCCAGAGAGACAAAACCGGGCACAAGACGAGAAATCAGAGTGGCAATAAATATTTCAACATCACCAGAAACTAGAAGAGTTTATACCCTCAAAATTCTGCAAAGTCAGGTACCGTGACTGTAATCTCAATTACTCAAGTGGTGGCACACATCTGTCATCCCACCTATGTGGGAGGCTTAAATATAAGGATTTTGATCCAGGCCAACCAAGGCATAAACCTCAAGACCCTACCAGGAAAATAGCTAAAGCAAAAGGGCTAGTGGTATGGCCTCAAGTGGTGAGGCCCTGAGTTCAAACCCTAGCACCACAAAAATAGCTAGCTAGATAGATACATAGATAAGATGGGTGATAGAGATAATAGAGATGTTCTGAGAACAAATCCTTGTGGCCAACCTGGGCTACATAGTGAGACACTGTCTCAATTTAAAAAATTTTTGTTTTTGAGAAAATACCTTTTCAACCTAGAATTCTCTACTTAGCCATAGTGTTAGACAAGTGTAAACTAAATATTTTCAGACCTACAAGGTTGCATGTTTTCACCCCCCATTCACCCTTTTTCAGGATCTTACTGTGGTACACCCTTCATCAAGCCAAGGGGGCAAAGCTACTTGGGAGGCTGAGATTGGGAGGACCGAAGTTCCAGGCCAGCCTGGGCAAATAGTTTGTGAGACCCCACTTCCAAAATAACCAGATCAAAATGGACTGAACGTGTGGCTCAAGTAGTAGAGTGCCTGCTTTGCAAGCACGAAACCCTGAATGCAAACTCCAGTCCTGCTCAAAAAAAAAAAAAAGCAATGAAAGCTAGATAGAGAATCTAGGCCAGAAGAGACGACATCAAAGCAAGGGAGACAAGAGAGAGACTTCTGGCGAAGAGGCTGTACAATAAACCCAGAGAGCCACAGGGAGTAGCAGGGATGCTTCCAAGAAGAGAAGCGTGATAGACTATCTGATCTATTTGAATGTTCATTTTTAGCTTTGCCAGAGACTTAAGGACAATGTAGAACTGGCACAATACAAAACAAGAAACAAGCCAAAACTGAAAAAAAATCATCTAATGACAAACCCAGGGCTGAAATATAGCACAGTGGTAGAGCCTGGTTTCAATTTGTAGCTCTGCCCTGCCCCTCCAAAAACAAAAGGATAATCCCAAGTACATGTGGCTCAGCTATGAACAAAGCCATGTAGGTAAAATACCATAAACCCTCATGGGGCTGTAAGGCAATGGGGTGGGATGGGAGTGGGGGGGGAGAAGGGAGAGCCAGATCACTTCCTAGGTAAGAACCAAAGAAACCATGGGGCTGAATCATGAGGGTGGATACTGGAAGGAACAGCTGTAGGTATTCAAAGTGCTACTTGATGTTTTTATACTAGAAGTATTAGGTAATAACCTAACAGTACTCTTGTATGATAAGCCAGTATCTCCCGGCCCTTTTCCAATGATGGAACTGAAAAAGAAGTTGTGCAGCATTGCAGGGGAATCCGAGGAGTAAGAGGGAGGCCTTGAAGTCTCCTAGTCACTTTTAAACTGTACATGTACATTATATTCTCGTGACTCAGCGGAACCAGGAGCCCAGAGAATCAGCCATTGAGAACTGATGGTGGCTTGGGAGGTTTAGGGGACAGAAGAAGGGACATTCAGGAGAGATCATCCGGACTTGCTGGTATTGACTGTCAGGAATGAGGGAATGATGCCAGGTGCTGCTGGTTACTAAGATGGAGATGACAAGAAGGCAGGTGAGGCAAGGAAGCAGCAAGCACCTCCTTGTTCAAGCCTGTGGGTACCGTGTCTGAGATGTGTTGAACATAGGATGAACACACAGTCCACACTGCATATCCAGACTTCAAGCCTGTGGTTGGTACTTTAAAAAATAATTATAAATTTAATTTAAAAGTAACATGATATTTCCATACATTCACCCCCTCTATTACTCTTTCTTATCTCCCTCCCCCCTTTTTTGGGCCTCACACTTGCTTGAGCCACTTCACCAGCCCTTTTTGTGTTAGGTTTTTTTGAGATAGGGCTTTGCAAACTGTTTGCCTTGAACTGCAATCCTCCTGATCTCTGCTTCCTGAGTAGATAGGATTATAGGAGTGAGCCACCTGTGCCCGGCTATTACTCTTACCTAACCCCCCTCCACCCTCCCTTTTTAGCAGTTTCAGTATTTTCATTACATATAATTGATTGAATTCAACCTCCATCATCCTCTCCTTTCCCTCTCTGTATATCACATTTTCTTTTTCTACTGAAAGTTTTGGGTTTTTTTGTTTGTTTGTTTTGCAGTACTGGGGCTTGAACTCAGGGCCTAC